TCAGAAAATGATGTTGAATCCCCTAGAACTGGAGTTATGGATGGATGGTAGCTGCTGTGTGGATTGTGGGATTTGAACCCGGGTATGATTCAAAAGCAGCCAACAATAAGTGTTGTTATCCTTCCAACCCCTTATTGTTTCTTTAGATTGTGAATACCTAATACAATTATCTTCGTGCTGAACTCCTAGTGGAATTATGCTCACTACTCTATTTCTGTTCCATACATAGTAATATCGGTAAGTTTGTCTTCAGTTTTGAACATTATCCAGTAGACTGTATTATTTCTATTTACCCCTTGAATAAACATTGTCTGTTGTAATAAATTAATTTTAAAATATCTATAATTTCTAAGCTATTTATTAACTGATTTTATTCTCTTTAACCCTGTGTGTGTGTGTGTGTGTGTGTGTGTGTGTGTGTGTGTGTGTGTGTGATCAAATCCAATGTCTTGGACATTCTAAGAAATTACTGCATCACTGAACTACCTACCCAGCCCTTAGTTTTTGATTTTTCAACTTAAATAATATTTGGTCAGAAAAAGGACACTTTTCAGTGTACTAAAGTTCTTAGTGGTCTAGCCTGTAGTTTAGTTTGTTGAACATACCATGTACAAACGAGAATAATGTGCACTGTATAGTTCAATGTGTTGTTACAAAAATATCCATTGAGGGGCTGTCAAGATGAATCAGTAGTTAAGAGTGCTTGCTTTTCTACCACAGACTGAATTCAATTCCTAGCACCCTCCTCAGGCTGCTCACAACCACCTGTATCTCCAGCATCAGGGATTCTGATGCCCTCTTCTGGCCTTTGTAGTCACCAGCACATAACATAACATACACACAAATAAAAAAGAAATCTTTAAATATACGTATCACTTGAGTCAGTGGTTAGAAGAAGATTTTCCTTTACCTCCTTAAAGATGTTGCTGTGCCATCTCTTTAGCTTCTAACATGTCTACTGAAATTTTCACTGCCCTGGAAATCAAGTCTACAACTGTGCTCTGCTGTTTTTCTCTAAATTCTTTTTTCTTTCTTTTCTTTTCTTTCTTTCTTTCTCTCTTTCTTTCTTTCTTTCTTTCTTTCTTTCTTTCTTTCTTTCTTTCTTTCTTTCTTTCTTTCTTTCTTTCTTCTTTTTTTTTTTGAGACAGGGTCTCCCTATAGCCCCAACTGACCTGGAACTCGCTATGTAGACCAAGCTGGCTTCCATCTCACAGAGATCCACCTGCCTATGGCTTTAGGGTGGTGGGAGTATTTTTAAGACTTTCTTTCCATTTAATAATTAATGTTGTACATCATGAGGCATGGTTTTTAAAACTATCCTTGAAGTTAACTGAACTTTTAAATTCAGATATTTCAGCAAATTGGAGCATTGTTATCAATTTTTTCAAGTTTTTTTCTTTTTGCTTCATCTTTTTTTTTCTGTGCAATGAGGATGCTAATTATTCATTTGTCAGAAATTCAAAATTGTCCTTGAAGTCTCTGAAGCTCTGTTAAAAAGAAAATTTGCAATTTTTTCTCTTTTCATGTTGAATGGATTTTGTAGTTCGTCTTCAAGTTCACTATTTGTTATAATATTTTCTTCTTACTTTTAATCTTACCCAGAAAAAGTTTATCATATTTAGGATTCTAAAATTTCAGTTTGGGATTTGTTAAATTTTTTTCATGGAAGTTATTACTTTTAACTAAAGCATGATCATATTTTCATTTCTTATTGCGTAAGGGTGATATCATGAAAAATATGCTTGATAATTCAGAGGTTGAATCATTTCAAGTTTCATATAAGTTAATTTTTTTCCCATTACATGGTATCTCATTTCCATCATCTTAAGAACTTTGACTTAATGGTGAAAACAATGACTGTCATGAGTAGACCTTGGATTGTTTTTCACTGTTCAGAGAGTCTTACTATGAATTACTTGGTCAGACTGACTGAATTGCCAGTAGCTACACATATGGTCATCTGTGGCTCACAAAGCAGGCAAGATGCTCAGGCCTTAACTGTGAAATGTGTTCTGTTTGCCAGATCATGGATCACTCAAGGTCAGCCGTGGCCTTATGTTGAGAACAGGCACATCTTTAAGGGTGTCTTTGACTTTCTTTTTTGTGGCACATCTTCCTTACTGTTTGACAGTCTGCACTGACCAGTGCCAGCCACTTTCTCTAGAATCTGAAAGCTTTCCTGTAAGACTGCCATCCTCCCATTGCCATGGTCCTTACTGCTGCTCCTGGGACTGCAGCCACACTTACTGCAGAGCTATAGCCAGGAAAAGGGGACATTTTGTCTGGGACACTCATTTGATTTGATGATCCCCTACAAACAATTTGCTTTTGCTTTAAGACCTAGAGGGTACCTATTTGCTCTTGTAGTTTATCTAGAGTTTTTAAATGCTTTCTGCAGGAGAATTACAGAGGGATATCTTTTGCATACAGAAAATGGAAAGAAAGTGGCATTTGAAAACCTTAGTTATATGACAGTTTCCTGTTTAACTTTCACAGCAGATGTCCATCATTTGTGGAATACAATTCAGTTTTTCTGACCTCTTCTCCCACACTTTATCCAAAATAGCCTTTTAGGTCTTTGAACATAACAAGTTCCTTCAACCTCAGTCTCTTACATGGGTGCTTTTGCCTTCCTTTTTGGAATGATCTTCCAGTGTATCTTTGGGATTTTTAAAGGCTGCTGTTTTTAAGAGTTCATTTTAGCCACACTTACATAAAGCAGTTTTTCATTCATTCTCTATTATTCCCCTTTTAAATTAAAACACTTTATTTTCATGATACTTGCCTAGTCATTATAAATTTAAGTACCAATGTAAACGAATGTATCATATTATAATTCTTCTCAACAGCACTATATGTAGAATAAAGACCCATGTTAAGAATGCTCTAAGCATTCCTATAGAGAACCTATGATTGCCACTGCAGTATAAGGAGAGATCATTGTAGGAAAAGATCATATCATTTGAGGAGTGTCAGGTATGGTGGGATGTACCTGTAATACCAGCACTTAGGGTACTGAATTGGAAGGGTCTCAAGTTCAAGACTAGCCTGTGCTATATAGTGAGACCTGGTCTGAAAAATAAAACAAAGTAAAATAAACTAGAAAAATGCTTTAGATGTCGTGTAGAGATGACTCACTCTCTCTCTCTCTCTCTCTCTCTCTCTCTCTCTCTCTCTCTCTCTCTCTGATGTCACCATAAATGCTTTCAGCATTCAAATGTCATCTTTGTAAGAAGCTTACTTGAACTATAAATTAGGGAAAATGCAAAGCTCTCTAGCTGTACTTTCCTTATTGAGTTGAAGTTGTATGTTTGTGTATTTTGTCTCCAGTAAGATTCAGGCTTTTCCAGGGCTGTATCTTATGAATTTTTATATTTCCACCCAGGAGCAGAGAGCCTGGCATAGAGCAGATACCCACCATATCTATTTGTATCCAAATTACCAGTCTTTATAAGTGGTTGGAATTCTAGAGTGTCCATTTTTCATACAAACAATGGCTGAGTCTAAATGTATGATACTATCTTGTTGGGTGTTTTGAGTGTTTTATTTGGAAGGAAGAAACAGTTGTAATGGCTAGAAAGTTCATATTAGTATATGCCACTGTCAAAGAGGCATGATTCCACCTAGGATTTCTCAGACTCATAACATGGTTAGCCCTTCACAGGCTAAAGTAGGCATTACAAACAGGGTGTAAAGATGAATGCCTGTGATCTAATCATTTGTAAGCCTGAGGCAAGAAGAATGCCATAAGTTTGAGACTAGCCTGAGCTACGTAGTAAGGCCCTGTCTCAAAATATAAAAATTAAATGTCTTTGAGCTTGTATTTCACTGCCTGGCAAATCCTTAATAAGTCAGTTTTAAAGTTATTTCCAAACTCATATCTATGATCATCATAATGCAAAATACCAGTGAGACTTAGAAGAAAATATTTTATTAAATAACTAGAACAGGAAGCATTATATTTTATGATACCATATCTCATATAATCATTACACACATGTACTATAACAGTTTTAAAATCCATTCACTCATGAGAAAACCAAATGCCTATGAGCTAGTAAATTACTAAGCAGAAACTTGAACTTGCTTTTTCTGACAGTGAAGATATGTATATATATATTCTCCTCACAGAAAGTTTCAGAAGCTTAGTTTTGTGTTATTTGATCAGATTCCGATTTATATACATGATCACTAGTTATTGTGAAATTGGATCACATCACCCATTAATATCAAATAATATATTGTTAATGGAAATCAGGTAAGGTAGAACTGCATATCATGGAAAATAAAATCCCACAAATTCATTATATGGTTTGAGATATTTTGTGAGTTACTGTGTAAGTTATTAATGAGAAATGAGTAAGCTTATTCAGCCAAGATGTAAGCAAGCAAAACTCTTCTGCAGTTCTGAGAACAGTGTTTGATATTATCACCAAAGGTAACTTTAGCCTATTTGAAGTTTATATTTTATATTCTTTTACTTCTTGGGAAACTGATATTTCATTCCTAGAATTGATGATGCAAAATTTATGCTACATCCCTACCTATCAACATAGTTGATGATCATTTCCCTGTAAAAGCACTGACTAAACAACAAATTCTATCTATATTAACAATATCATTAGCACTGCTAAAGCTAGTCTCAGAATATTATCTCCCAAATATTGTCCAGAGTTTAAATCAGAGTAACAAATGCACAATTAACCTGAACACAGAAAAAGTGCCGACTCAGCACCTTCAAGGATCAAGTTGAGTTATGAGTCATCTCATTTTGCAAAATCACAGTAAAAATGAGCCTTTCATTTTGCTGAGGTTCGACTGGCATTTACAGCAGATGATTAAGATAAGGAAGAAAAATAACTTTTGCATTTTATCAGAATATGGGCATTTTATCCTGGCTACGATTTTTTCCCTCTGCAGATTTCATCCATCAAAGAAATGTCTCCACAAATTGTGAAGGGCCCAGTTATTTCCCAGGGACTTCTATGCCTGTGACTTACCTTGTGAAAGCTTCTGAAATAAGCTGCCTTTTCATCTGGAAATTTTTCTAGTCTTCTGGGTCCTTTGCTAGAAGCCTTCTTAAAAACCAGCCAGCATCGTCTGAAAATCTGGAAGTAAATAAAAGAATATGATTATCCATTTTTTCCATGAGCTTACTGGCATCAGTAGGTGTTATCTATTCAATTAATACATTAGGAATGAGTTTGTAAAACTTTACTTCATAAGCAATTGTTTCTTTCAATGAGAAATATGCTATTAATTAAAATCACAACAAAATTTTACAATATATTGCATGTAGAATGAACTGTGTTATAAAGTTTTCAATCTGTTGGTTTTAATCCTCTTTTAAACTTTTTTTTTTTTAATTTTATGTGTATGAGTGTATTGCCTGTGTGGGTATAAGTGCACCCATGTCATGCAACACCCTCAGAGACCAAAAGAGGGCATCAGATCCTCTGGAACTGGAGTTATGGATGATTGTTAGCTGTCATATAGGTGCTGGAACTAGAACCAGGGTCCTCTGCAAGAGTATCCAGTGCTCTTAACTGCTAAGCCATCTCTCCAGTCCCTGGTTCTACTCCTCTTTAAATAAACCATCTCAGTGTCAGTGCCAAATATATGAAGATAATTATCCTTTTCCTATTCTACAAACTTAGTGAGGTTAAATGAAATAAACGTATACTATTAATTTTCAAACTTTTAACAAAAGGTCATATTTGAAATTAATTTATCTTGTAATAATTTAGGGTCTTCAACAAATGATCATAATATAATGTAGAAAACAACAAAAATATGTTTTTATAATGAGAACATCTGACTTCCCTGTTTTACAGTTTCATAGTAACTAGAATATATTAAATACTTAGTATGAGACATATAATGCACTTCAAAGTTGTGAACATAGGGGCTAGAGAGATGACTCAGCAGTTAAGAGCATTTTCTACTCTTGAGGAAGACCCGAGCTCAATTCCCAGAACCCATATGGCAGCTAGCAAACATCCATAACTCCAATTACAGGGGATCCACGGCCCTTTCCTGATCTACACAGGCATTACATGACAAGGGTGGACTTATATACATACAGGCAAATACACTCATATACAAAAAGAAAAACAGCAAATAAAATATTAAAAATTATGAACATATTTAAGCCTGATGATTACTGTTTTAAAGGGATACTATTATTTTCATTTTATGATAAAGTTAAGAGACAATGTTAGGGCTTAAATATAAGTATTTCTGAATCTTTGACTTTGGTTTAAAAAGTTACCATTAATCATGCATGCTATATCCATTGTATTTGACACTTGCCTTTATTTTATAAATTTAATCAATACCAGGTTTTCATCTCATTTCTACTACATCATATGGTCTTCATAGGTGTGTTGGAAAGCAGAGTAATGAAATGCACTTTTCTCTCTAGTAATTGAACAGATTAGTGGATGAAAACGGCCACAAGTTTTCAATTTCTAAATTTAGCTTGTTCTTTTCCTTCAGAAACCTAGGTCACTGTATTTTTCTTGTGTCTTTATTTAAAGTGCAAAGTTGTCTCTATCAGTTTTATGCTAGTCAAAGTCAGACATTGTAATCCTTTCAAATTATTCCCCTGAGCATTGTTTCTTACTCACTAAAAGACAGTATTTCCCACGTGAAACAGTATTTTTGAACAGTCACAAAGGTATTTCCTCCTAAAAGCAGAATAAATAGAATAGCAATGTGAACATACACTTAGACTGCTCTTGTTTTTCTTAGATCCTTTCCTGTAGCCTTGAAAAACACATCAAGGATGGTGCTGAGCTCCCAGCACACATGAACAAGTGCCCATTCCTGGGATCAGATTTATCTTGTCAAAGGGTTCCTAGCCACACAACTACTTGACATCTAGAGAGCTCACAGTGTCCTTTATATAGCATGCTTGTTAATACATGACATTGTGGTTCTTTGCTTATTTATTGGCCATTTACCAATCTCCAAGCCCTGAATCAAATGGTATTAGTCATTACAACAGAGAATCACAGAGAATCACATATGGCCTGTTTAGCTTTAATTCATTCTATATAGAGTTCTTTAGTAATGTAAAATTACGTTTTTGAAATATAGCACATTATGTTTTAAAAATCGCCTTATTGTTTGATGTCCCATGCACTTATATCATGAATTTGATGAGTTTTACCACTCCCACACCCACTCATGTCTCCCCACTCTCCTGTTGAAACCTCCTTCCCAACAAGTCCCCCTCTTATTTTCACCTCTCCTTTTTGTGTGAGACTCATTGAGCTTAATCAAAGTCTGTAGTCCTAGAATGGGTGGGAGGTCATTAAATGAAGCAAAGGCAAGTTAACAGTGGCTACACCACTAAAGAAAATGACATCCTCTCCCTCTACAACGATTAACTACCAATAGCTCTGGAAGGAGGGGTGAGGACCATGACAAAACTTTGATGGACCCAATCCTGTGTAGGTCCTGTACACATACCCACAGTGTCAGTGAGTTCATGACTGTCATGCCCAGAAGATGGTATTTGTTGTACATCTTCCTGTCCTTCGGCTCTTACTTTCTTTCGGCTCCCTCTTCCCTCCTGTCTCTTGAGCCTTGGAGGGAGAGATATAGCTATTCCATTTAGGGGCAAGCATTCTACCTTCGCTTACTCTTGGTACCTTCACAGTTATTGGTTTCTGCACCATATGCAGTAAAAAATTTTTTTCATGATGTTTTGGTGGGACACTGATCTTTGGGTATAAACATGAGTACTTAGAAAACCATTTAGTCAAACAACAGCACTAGGGTCCCTGCTAAGACCTATGACCTATTCAGAAACAAGTACTTGACCAGGGTTATAGAACCAGGCATGAGTTTTTTTGTTTTTGTTTTTGTTTTTTCCCATGGAGCAGGCTTCAGACAGTCAGAAAGTAATCATGTTTCTATTATAGTAGAGGACACGTCTTGCTTACAAGTCATTATTGTAGCTCTCAGGAGTCATAACTGCGTCACTTGACTTTTCTCCCACAGCAACCTACACAGCACCTTCTCACACTATGAATGCTAGATGTAGAAAAAGGTTTAGACAACGTTTAACGTATAAGAAGAGATACTTTGTTAGGTTGTGGAAAATCAATGTTTTGTAATCAGTCAGGCTTGGATTTACATTAGAATTCTGATACTTATTCACCATTAATCTCAAGCACACTACTTAATGCCTGGCTAATGAAGAAAGTACTGCATGGGAAGGATGGACAATTTAACAATGCTCTAGAGTAGAGAAGTTTCTCCACTTGGTGCTGTCCTTTTATCAAATCTGTTTTTCTTACAGATCAGGCACTATTTGCTATACATGGCAAAGCCACGCATAGTAGCACTTTTTTCCTTAATGAGTTCTTATTCTAACATGTATTCGAACAAAATATTAGTATGCAAATATTCTGCATCTAGAAAAACTAGATGGACATGTCAGAATTCCAAACAGTAAACAGAAAGCATATCAGTGACCTCCCAAACATGGACTCTGGAGTTAATAAAACTGCACTTGAAATTGCAACTTAGCCCCTTGTTAGACACATCTTGTGTCACTTTTTAGCACTCTGGGTGTATGTTCTTAAATTATCTTGGACAAAATAATGATGAGAGTTTAGGGTTAATATGGAGGAAAGAAGAATTAATCGCATAGTTGACAGAGAGGAGTCATTCACTAAATACGACAACCAAATCCAGAGCAAACAAAATGCTCTTTACAGCAGCCTTGCTTAACCCTTTTCAAAAGCATGCATATTTACCTATACTGTGTTATGAAAATTGGTGTGCACCAATATAATTTTGAAGGTTTCACACAATTTCATTAATTAAATAAATGATTACATATAAAATCAGTATACAAGATAGTTTAAATATACAATTGAATGCAAATATTAATTTCTATTAATATTTTGTGATGGTTTGACTATTACTTAGTAGTATAGCTGTGCGTGCTTATATTTAGCAACTCATACTTAAAAACATAAAGAAAAATTATATTTATTCTCTTCTTAAAGGAGAACAACAACATCGCATGAAGCAATTTTGTGCTAAAGTAATAATTTAATTTAGGTTATAATTTGATTCAAAACATTGTATGAGAATTGGGAGCATTATGTTGTAATGCCTAAGAACACAATGTTCACTTCAGTATTTGCTAATCTTTTAATATCTTACCTCACATAAATGATTTAAGCTTTCCTTAAACCTTAACTTTGTCATCTATAGAATGAGGTCTATCTACTTCCTGAAGTTGATCCTTTAGTATCATAAGACACATCCTGCATTTGAAAAATAGCTAGACTTATCTGAAACTGGTGGGTTTTTGATATTGAGCTATGTCTCCTCAAAATTCATATACTGAAACCTGTGTGATGTTATTTAGGGAGGGGACTTTGTGATATAATAATGTTTGTTAAGTAAGGTCCTGGACTTTGATTGTAGAATAAGAGCTCTTAGAACAGACATGAACCACCTTGCTTCCTCATTCTCTCTGCTTTCTGGGATAGCAGAGATCATGTGAGCACATAATTAGAAGACAGTCTGCAAACCAGGAAGGAGGCCTCACTAGATCCAGCCATGCTGGCACCCTGATCTCAAATCTGCAGCCTGCAATCAGAAAAAAAATAATTTTTATTGTTCAAGGCACCAATGCATGGTACTTTGTTATGGTAACCTGGACTGATTGAGACAGATAATGTCATAGATAAATGATAGATAGATAGATAGATAGATAGATAGATAGACAGATAGATGATAGATTATATTTTATGGGACAGTTTTTATGGTGGCACCTGAAATAACAGCATTGCAGAAATGAAAGCATTCCCATGAGTTTGAGTAGAAATGTAAGTGGCCAGAAGCAGATGAAAATGTTGTTTGCAAAGTGGGATGCATATAGATTATAACTATTTATTTCTTCTGATATTCACTGATATATGTAGAGTCTTAGTTGAGGGCAGAAAGCTTTCCTTCAAGGCTTGATATGTAAATCTCACAAACACAGAGTATTTTTGTTCTTTCCTACTGAGAAATGTTTTCCCCTGTAATGTTGGTCATTTTATTGCTCACAGCTTGAGAAGATCATAGTAGTAAATGA